GCTGTAGTTATAACATGTGAGTTTTGATTTGGATGCTGCTTGCCTCTCTCCACTTTCTGTTGTTGTACAGTCATACATAGGCAAATTCCAGCAAAAATGTACTGAAATGTTAGAGAAAGACCTACCCTCAACCTCCCACCCCCAAACACACACACACACATTTTTCAAGATGTGTATAGAGATATGAATTAAAATTCTAAAACATATTTCTGTTCATCGAAAAATATAACTAATTTATATTATTAATTTTTTTCCTATCTCCGTGCGAAATCAGCATAGAAAATTATATACTGAATGAAATATTTCTTTATATCGTTGTAACGCAGACAGTATGGCCTGCCTTAAGGAACATGATGTGACTGCGTATCGTAATGCACCTTCTACTCCTTTGTTTAATAGGATTTACAGATTTTAGGCCAGTAGAGAAACATAAAGATGCCGCCATTTTTCAGTGTCCTTATTGAACATAAAACATTTACATTGAACCTTTAAACCAGTGAATTAAACCTTATTTATACATGTAAAATACAACTTTAGACGATATTTTGATTCGATATACGGTCTAAAAATACTTGTCTAGTTGGAAACACAAAAAATGGTATTGCTGATAACATGCAGAGTGTGTTGTGGCTTTGATTGAAGTTCAAGGTCACTAAGGATTAGATCTTTTTTAACTGATGTATGGTCTGAAAGAACATGTGTGAATTTATCAAGTCGGTAACACTAGATAGGGTTTGCCTATAACCAGAGTGTATTGTGGCTTGATGCAAGGTCATTTGGACAAGTTCAAGGTCACCACTGTACTCTTCTCTACTATCTATGTACTGGCAAAACATTGCAGGTTGATACCCCTTGCAAGACTGCTTGTAACGTTAGAATGTGGCATAGCCTTGACTCAAGGTCCCTACTTCCTGTCCACAGCTCCAACGAAAGACCTACTCGTTTTGCATCGAGCTATGCTCTAGTTATAATATTTTTGTATCTTATTTTCATTCCCGTTATTTATGGCATGAAAAGTTAACTTATCTTTTGACATTGTCTCAAGTAATCGTTTATGTCTCTGAACAAATACTAGTGAATAATTATTGATTTCAATTTATTCGCAAATGTGTATTTAAATTTACTTTTTTACAACTCTAATGATTTTAATTGCTTTACTCCATTTCCTATATATCACTGTAGGCATAGTTGTTATGAATTTACAGATCTCGTATCAATTTACATATCTTACTCTGATTGACTTAAATTACAAAATGATATCATAATGATGGAAAAGAATTCTTTTGAAATCTTTCCTTGGAAAATTGTTTTGTTTCATTCCATCCTTTGAAAATTTAGGATCATTTTTTTTCATACCGGAATTATGAAATTTTTTATTGAAACATTTGTTTTATACAAATAGGGACATGCTTTAAACAGCTTGATTGTCTTAGAAGCCGTAAAGTTAGAAGTGGGGGAAGATAGTAATCAGGAGGTAATGAGAACAACGTAAGCCCAAGTGCGTGCATTTTCATAAGCGTAGGAAGTGAGACGTGTGGCAGTCTTGCGACCTACGAAAGATAGATGCGCGCATAAACGAATCTTGAGTTGTCACGCTGAAAGTGCGAAACCCGTTCATCGCACTTTTATCGCTATTGTTGGAATTTTTCGTTTAAATGCATTCTCGTACACATAAAGAGGCCCGTTGACTTTTAATTTTATAATTTCCGTGCAATGACGTAGTAACATGCAAATGGCAGGTCATCTTCAAAGTTATCGCTTAATGCAACTCCAGTTGATGATGATGCCGTTGTGGCTGTTGTTATGTTTTTAGAGTTGGGTGAATAGCACACTTGCTGGAGCATGATACACTTGCGACTTCTGCGTTTCCTTGGAAATTGTAGAGTTTGTTGCACATGTTCAACATCCACCGTACGTGCTTACGGGCTGTCTGCGTGCTCAAAATTTTGTAGGAAGACCGTGCGAGAATTGGTATATCTTTTCTTTCGTTTTTTTTTTTTTTTTCGTGCCGTATACCTTACAGTGTAACTCTTGGGTCACAGCGCCGTTGAACAGCAAGGGTTATTTAGTGTGCCAACGCCTGCCTTAGCACAGGGCCTCTTGTTTAAGGTCTCATCCTTAAGACCCATACCTTTCACTCCAAACGGCCAAATGCTCGGCAAAGGAACAGTTGATACCTATCTTTTTATTGACCTAGGTCAGTCGCAGCCGGGGCTTGAACCTACAAAGATGGAAGCGATCCTGAAAGGTATGACAGCAAATACGAATATGTGAAAATAATCAGAATTACATTATGTTTTCGCAAATGAACTTTTTTAAACTGGCTATTTGATAACAACAGTGTGTCGATCACTGTTGATTCCATATGAGGCATCCGGTAGCTTTAACTATCTGCGAAGACATTACGCCATGCACTACTTTGTTTACTATGCACTGAGGACTTCATGTAAATCTTTCATAACATATTGAGTACTTACGAGCATTATTTTGATGCATTTACCTTCAGATGAAAACCTTTTCTAGAGTTACCTAGTGAATAATCTTACATTTTCTTTACCTGCGTCAGAAATTTATTCTAATATTCGGAAGTACATTTTCCATTAGGGTGAAGTTTATTCGTTCATTGGTGTTTCGGAAAGCAACAAAAAATCGAATTTAGAAAGCGCCACTCCTATTCTGTCTGTTTACAGCATTGTGGACTTTCAGCATATTATCGTTTTTAAAGAAGTTTCAAATCTCATAGATTTCAGTTTAGATGTATTTTGGATTTACCGTAATGATGATTTTAAAAGAAAAGGTGCTTGACACATCAAATAGCCATAACATACCATGAAATCACACTGTCATCATCTATCTACGATGAAACTATCTCTAATTATGGAATGTATCGATTGTTTTTGCACACGGCTCATAAATCTTTTGGTGTTTAGCGGGAAAATAACGTACAAGGTCGTTTAAACTATTTTAGCCCTAACTTTGCCAGAGATATTCCTGAACATTTTCATTTTACTATTGTAAACGTTTATTGAAGGCTGGTTCCCAACCGTTTTATTGTATTATAGTTTGGTAATGTTTTAGAAAAAAAGGGTTTAAAAAAAGTCCCCCCCCCACACACACACAATAGGATCGTCTGGTTTTCTTTTGTCTTGCTTGTCATGAGTTTTTTCAGGTATTTTTTCTAGTTACCCCTTCCCACCACCACCACAACTTTTAAAAACGATATTACGTCCCTGCATGATTACTAGTCCTGTTAATAAGAAAAAGTCGGTTACAAAATTGACCGGTGTAGAACAGAGCAGAATACATCCATGGGTATTGGAGTTTTATTTCCTTGCAACTTTAATTAAATACTAAGAAATTTGACAGTTTATTTAGCTACAGAGTTATTTTTCTTTACAAAGATTCAACCCATTTGATTTCATGTCTCTCATCCCATTTTATATATACATATCAACTTTATATCTTTCAAGTTACAAAATATTATTTTACAGGCAGCATGATGAGATCACAGAACAACATTGGGCGGCTAAAATTTGATCTTCAATTGTAATTTGATGTGTTTAGAAAAGCATTTTATAGGGTTATTCTTTTTACTCTATGCTCAGTTTAGAAAAAAAGTGAAATTATAATATATTTACATTTATATATATACCCTTAGAAAAAACATTAAATTGAATCAAGTAAAATAAAATGTTTACAAAGCTAACTTTATGATCCCATGTCGATCGTTCCTTTAAAAGGAGTACTTCTCAAAGTTTGAATTCGTCTTGAAATTCTTACACAAAATCCAAAAAAAAAACACGATTTTTTTCGACATAAAATGGATTAAGGCCCTGAATCCATTTTATGTCGAAAAAAAAATCGTTTTTAATTTAAGGGTGACATTTTTCCCCTCACATTCTGTCAAGTTCATTTAATCTTCGTTTAATATCGGTCAAGTAGAACTTCCTGTGAATATGTTTTTATAATTTTGTCAGTTATGGTGTAACCAATGAACAGCATACAAATAGTAAACATGAAAAATGCCATTAAAGGTCTAACTCTTTAAATGCACCTTATTATCTAAACATGCTGGTAATTCAATTCTGAATACTTCATGTGCTATCAATATTCAATACTAATTTTTAAGCTATCGATTACCTACAAACCATAAGGGTTCAATACATATTTCAATGTTAGCACCTCGCAATGGAATTTTAATGACAAACAATGCAATTGAGGAGAGGATGCAAAATAATTAATATTAATTAGATTTTAAATTTTTAATGTGACAAAACATTTACTCTGAATGGTTCATGTAAATATAATTGTGTAATATCTTTTAATCAATATTCCCAAGAGATCAAATTTTAGAAGCAAAAACAATCTTTATTTGCATCTTATACAGTCTGATTAAAACCAGCCCCCTTCTCTTTTCACTCGTCCTGACAAGTGAAAGGAGAAGGGGGCTGGTTTTTAATCAGACTGCATCTTATATTTTGATTTCATATTTTAGCACCCTGCAGGGGATTTTAGTGACAAACAATGCAATTGAAGAGATGATGCAAAATAATTAATATTAATTAAATTTTTAATGTGACAAAACGTCCATTTACTCTGAATGGGTTCATGTTAATATAATTGTGTAATATCTTTTAATCAATGTTCCTCAGAGATCAAAGAATCAAAAACAATCTTTATTTAGCATCTCATATTTTGATTTCATATTTTAGCAATGGGCCTTAACAGTACATTTTTCAAACAAGAAAAGGATCGAAAAATATTAGCTCAGCATTGGGAGTGTCATCTTTATATGAATAATAAAAGAAGAAATACATTTTTAATAATGGATGAATTATGTTCATACATCTCTTAATTCATTAATTTAAATACATCAAAAAATTGTAGCTAGCCTAATTATTTCTGAAATCAATATGTGATCGTAAGCCAATTGTTAATGATTGCGTTATCCCACACACTATAAGTTCTCTCTGTATTGACTTGTGGGCCTGCAAGAAAGGATGTTGTATTTCAAAGAGATGTTAAGTTTACTAACTTTGCTTGCAATCAGCACCATAGCTGTCCAGTGTATGTCAAAAATTCCTGAACTTACTTTGACCAGAGACCCAAATTACAGCGAATTATTACCAACACATACTCGTTACCAAATTACTTCTATACATAATATTAGCCCTGTGAGGAGTGCTTTGGAGTGTTTACTTCGTAAACCACTGTGTGTTGGACTTCTTTACAACGTCAATGTCCGCTTGTCTCTGCTGCTGATGTGTTATCTTAATGAAAGATCGGTTAACAGGACATTGATTGAGTCCGGATGGAACTTTCTCGCCGACTTCAATGGTAATAGTTTTTAATTTTTTCGTTTTACTACTATTTTATTGCATTATTACATTAAGGAAATGCTGTGAGCAAGTAATTAATCAATTTTCATTATATCAATAACATGACACAATATAATATTTAACGCGTGATAACATTTGAGAAGGCTGTAGAAGATTGTTATACAAGAGGTATGGGTGTCTGTACCAAATTAAAGCAAAACGCCAAACACGTAGACGTAGATCTTTCCATGTATTAAAAACTACGTGGGAAATCAAAAATACTGGGAGTTTGAGAGACTACGATAAGAATATCGCAAAGTGACTTCTCAAGATTTTTTGTTTGTTCGATTTTTATCCTCTTGAAAAAAATTTAATTATCTTGATCGATATCATTTACAATTGCCAATGGAAGGTGCCAAATGAAAACCAAAATTGACACTCAGCCACTGAGAAGTGATGGATCTTTTTCATGTCAACATCTACTGCGACATTGGACCTTGGGTTATACGGTATCATCTTAAAGACCGGTCTATAAGCCCCGCAGTGGGAATCTGCAACCTCACTCTGCGACTCTATTTAAAGCGCAATGATCTATCCTTTGTGCAAAGAAAAATTTAGAAATCAGTTCAGTGTATCTTTTTTCACAAAGCTACGATTCATAACTTATCAGTTATATTTATCATTTATAGAAAAAAAATTGTATCTTTTCATTTCCACTTTAATTTTACAAACACGTTCTTCAGCTTTTTGCAAATTTCTTTTAAAGCAAATTAAACTCATTTGTAATTGATTTATAATTTGAATACCATTGATTAATGTTTAGTTGACCTAAGTTACAACTTTTGGATAAGAGTACATGATTTTCTTTAATGAAATCAAATTTTAAAACTTCACTAATTTCAGAATACTTACTTATATGGATCAGGTCAATAAGATTTTTCAGTATGTTTAACGTATATGAATTTTACCATATACATGTATTAAGATTCAAATTGTAAGATTTTGTAGTTGTAATATTAATTGAAATCTATGGCAAGCCTTTTTACTATTTATTCAGATGAAATGAGAAGAATACGAACAGTAACTGTATGTTCCTTGTCAGGATAGAGTAAAAACAACAATCAGTAGACATTCAATGTGAAATTAATGACATAATTTTCACAGCCTTGTAGTTTTTTTTTTTATTTTTATTTTTTATATATTTTATTTTACTTTTTTGTAATTTATATGAAATAAGTCAGTCAACTTTCGAGCTAACGATGAATTGTGTTTGCAAATGAAGTCATTGTATCGACCATAGAATTTCAGAAATACTTATTTTGAATAAGAATATTGGTATCCTTCTACCATCAACTGATTTTCCAGTAGGCTGTGTCGTTTTAGAAATTGTTCATAGGTAGAATATGCTCGATTGGGAGATAAAAAACTCCATATCCAGGTGATAATGGTATGTTGGAAGATAAATAAGGAAAATTGACAATAGAAAGTCTTCACATGCATTGTAAAGTTTAGTTGTTAGTTTGCCATAAAATTTTTATAGTACAACATCCAAATATGTAACAGATGTGCCAGATTCTGTGGTGTCTTTTATAATGAGTTCGATTGGACATATCAAATCAACGTCGGAATGAAAATGAACATTATTAATCATTCTATTCTGTCTATGAGGATCAGAATTTTGGAAAACATATACTAATCCCACAAATAGCCTCACTATAAATACCCCTTTCGTAAACAACCACAAGAATACCGGATTAGGAAATTATGCATTGCATTTCCATGTTGTTGTAATTACCACATTAATAATGTAGTAAATCTTTCAAGTCTACGTTGTGCCAATGTGACTATGATACGACTTTTTTAACAGTACAAGATATATGTACAAGATATATAACAAGATATACCAGGGTATTCCAATTTTTTGACTCAAATTATTTGAATCTATTGTTAAAATATTTGTACTAAATTTGGTTATAATATGACGTTAAATAAAAAAGTTTTGACAAAAGTCTACGAAATTTTTGAATGACCCTCATATATCGCAGGGTCCAGTAAATGTTCAATGTTCAACTTAGCCAACACATCACCAAAATATTAACTGCAGTGAAAGAGAGACTTCAAACGTTTTGTGCTACAACATATTCAAGAAGTACTGTAAATCACATGTGGACTCTAAAAAAAACTCCAAAGACCTTTTGGAAAAATGTTTTCTCAAAACCTTTTAAGCATCAATAGCATCAAAACATTTGACTTTTCTACGCTTTATGTGACCATTCCTCATGATTAATAAAAAAGCAGGCTTTTCCTCATCATAGACAATTACTTCCTCAATAAAAAAAGGACTCATAATTTATTTTTAGATTGTGATCAATTTACAAAATTACTTTGTTAAAATTATTCTTATTCTGCATACAAGTACTTTGAAGTTGATATTTAAAAATTGCGGGAGATCTTCATTGACTATATCTATGTAGTCTTTGAAGACCAGGTCTTCCAACAATCTGTTAGAATTCCGATAGGCAATTATTGTTCTATTTTATTAGCCAACGAGTTTTTATGTTCATATAAAGCAGAATTTATTCAAAAACGTCTACAGGAGACGAAGAAAACTCTTGTTGTGGCCTTCAACTCAATATTTGATATATCGACGACGTTTTATCAATTCACAATAGTTACTTTCATTCATATGACGACTCGATATATTCTAGTGAACTCGAAATTACTGATACTACAGAGTCTACCATGTCTGTTTCATATATGAATGTTTTACTTAGACAACAATTACCAACTAATAACTAAACTGTATGACAAACGGGATGATTATCTTTTCAATTTTCCCGTATTTACAATGTATAAAGTAATAATCCATCATCACCTAATATGGAATTTATGTCTTCCAATACATTCGATACGCAAGACCATGCTCTGAGTATGATCAATTTTTAAACCAAGACAAGCTACCGACAAATAACTTGATGGAACAAAAATTTCCCAAAACCCGTTTAAAATCAGCTTTTTCCAGATTCTACGCTGATTTAATGACCTTGTTTGTAAAAACAACCTACCTATCGTTGGACCATATTTTGTCTGATATGTTTCATACCATTTGTAAGGTCATTGCTTTTAAACTACATCTGTCGAAGAACTCCCTCTACCTGATCAATACATTGGGTTCACGAGGGATGTAACCGGTCGACAGGGGATGCTTTCTCCTCTTAGGTACCTGATCCCACCTCTGGTATTTCCAGGGGTCCGTGTTGTTGCCCTGTTTATGATTTTTTTTTTTTTTTTGTGTACTGTGTTCATGAGATTGATTACTCCTCGTTATCTTCACTTTTTACGTATTAATAGCGATTCTCTGTAACCACTTAAACTTCTTTGCTACTCATGGTCACCACCGATTTTGATGAAACTTTGCCCATTATTACAACTTGACACCAGAAACATACATCAAATAGAATTTCGTTGCTATGTGTCTTGGTTGCCATGGCAACAGCCAGAAAATTGAGATTTTCAGCTACTTTGAATCTTTATTTAGCCTTAATAAAGACTAAGAAAAACAAACAAACCATTCTCACAAAAACATGTCACCTTGTTACCACTTATGCTATAAAGAAACTATTTAGAATTTATCTCTAATTAAGTGGTAACCATGGGTACATTTGGAATACAATTTAGATGCTGAAAAATGCTGAAAACGCTCAATATTCACTAATGATAGAAGTTACATGATCAAACTCAATCAACAACCAAAGAAAAACAATAAAAATATTTGACCTTAAGTAATTAGGTATTGGCAATATTATTCTAAAAATAACTTTCATGGTTGCCATGGTAACCCTTTGTAACCATGCAAAATCTGTTGATAAGATTGGGTTAATGCTACTATCTTGAGGAAAAACAACAAGAGGCCCAAGGGCCTTAACGGTCACCTGAGTACAATACAACAATTTAGAGGATCCATAAACTGGTAACTGGAGCCTTGTTGCCCAAAAGCAAGAAAAATAGTATGCTAAACATCAACAAATTAATTGGTATAGAATCTATCTGTCCCCCATTTATCACTATTACCATGCAGACTATTAACAAAATGTCTATTTCTAACCCCATATTTCTACTTCTCACACTGGTCTCTCTTGGCCTTTGAAGAACATTAAAAAAGATAAGTTATTTTTGCTTCACTTTTATTCATCTATTATTTCCAAGTCTACCTGATCATTAAAACTATGAAAGTACTTTTTGTATTATACAATAAATATTCTTGCATAATTCTCTTATTCTATTGACCTTTCAAATATATTATTAATAGTGATTAATTATCAAAGGTGAATGGCAAAGGGGAATAACTTTGCTCAGCAGAATACAAGCTCATATAGCCCTGGCCAGGACCAGAACACTTGACTAAATAATCCAGGTGTTCGAATTCCGGTAAAAATACCCTTGCATATTAAAACTTTTACTCTGTTTGCCTCGAATATGCCCAGAAGCATAGATTTTCAAAGAAATGCATGTTCACTATATTATTAAAGGAATAAACCCCCCCCCCCCTTACACCAGAACATCTTTCCCAGGGGCCATGACCTCACAATTCTGCAATTCTGGAAGAAGCATTTTGTTCATCATAACTATACACTTGTTTCTTTGCTTTATTACCAGTAGTAGAAAAATTATTTTGAAAGAAATCATGCATTTTCACTATAAAATCAATAGAGAGCCCCCCTCCTTCACCAGAACCACTGACCGAGGGGCCATGAATTTCACAATTTTGAAAGAGGCATTCTTCCTTATCATAACCATGCACTTCCTTTGTTTGAATAATACCAAGGAGCAGAGAAGAAGATTTTGAAAGAATTTATGCATTTCCCTATATAATCAATAGAGCCTCGCCCTAACACCAGAACCCTTCACCCAGGGGCCACGAAATTCAAAATTTCTGAGGAGGCAGCCATGCTCATCATAACTATGTACTTAGTTTATTTAATATCCAGGAGAGAGAAGATTTTCACAGAAATAATGCAT